CTTCATATGTGATTGACGTAATTTATTTCTTTTGTAGAAAATGAAAGAAAAGCAACAGTACATTCAGGTCAAACAACAATATCACCATCGAACAACTAGAAAAGGATATACAAATGTGAAGTATGAACTTATATATATTCGCACACTTGTTTTAACATCATTAATGAATATTTATGAACATTCATTTCATACATTTTGATTCTTAAATTATGATAATTTAATAAAATCAGTGAGCTCTGGCACAAAAATTTTTAGATAGGATGTCTGAAAATAATGACATGTACGAAAGGATGGATCTTTTGCAGATAAAGCAACCAAAGAAATGGTAAAAAAGATTATATGTATAACTATTTTTTTAATATAATGTATGATTGGCATTGAGGTTGTATGTATGACTGTATACTAGCTTCTACAGATTTGTTGTTACAGCCTATTTTATTATTATCTTTCAAGATGATTATGCTGCCAAAGTCAATTCTGGTAAATTGACAACCCAGTATGGCGATGATCCTTTGTCTTTAACATTAGGTGCTAAAGAAAGGCTTGGTCGCATTTGAGAGGTTGGTAAATTTGTCTTGCCATCAAAGTTTTTTGGTAATCAACACAAAATTTCATGAACGAAAAAATGCACAATATGAAGCAATCATTGAGTAATAATAGCAACGAATTGATGACTAAGAGTAACGTCTTAATAAGCAATAGCAAAGACTTGCTGCTTTGGAGTTCATGTTGGCAGCACTGTAACATAACATGCCAGTAGGCCAGTCTGGTAGCATCATCCACATAGGACAAGCTTCCATTACAAGTAAGGAAGTGAACCCATCATTCGCTACCACCTAAGAAGTATGATTTTATTTATAATTTTAATATTAATTTATTTATTATATTTATTGATTTGGTTTTAATACTTATATTTCATTAATATTGTAGCAAGATGTTAGGACTCACAGTATTTGCTCAGGCTACCACGGATGAGTTATCCAAATATTCGTTGGAGCATTTATCTGGAGAAAACTTCTTAACCATTGAGTCTGAGAAATGGTTGTTTGATAAACCATCATTTTCTTTCATTAGTCCGAAAAAAGGTTAAAGAATTTTGTGAATTGGATGAATTATCAGCTGTTAATATTATTGCTTATATGATGTTAGCTTATAAATACAAATATGCACATTCAATATGTATTAATCTATATTAAGGTGTAATACTAACTAGTAGTGTTGATTGTTACGTGCAGCTTTCTATAAAGAAAACTCAAGGGGAGATAGTTGACCAATAAATTTTGATTCATTGACCCCAACTTCATTAGTAAGCATAGTGGCACATTGCTTATCATGCTAATCATGTGATCGAATGCATGAAAAGATCTACTGATTATTATTTGCTCTCGTATAATGCGTAGTAAATTATATTTCAACCTTACCCAAATCTAATCTTATGCATAATTTGAGTATATCATTGTTATTATTTTATAGTTATCATTGGGTGCTTATTGTCATTGACACCAAATCCTTAATGCCATACTTACTTAATTCGGTTAATCCAACGACGATGCCTAACTTTGATATTGAAACTTTTATAAAGAGGTATTACACTTTATCATATTATATATCTTCTATTTCTTCAAAAGTAATTTTATTTATGTATTAAGTAATTTTTTTTTCAATTTAAGGTAATATCTGCATTCTATAAGAAGACAAAGAACCCAAAATAGATGTCATTACCAGTAAATGTCAAATTTATTCTTTTATGCTGAGTTTGTGTAGATAAATATTTTCTAAACCCATTCAATTTAATCTTCAGGTATCTCATCAACTCGGTAATACTGAATGTGGATATTATGTTCTTCGTTTTATGCATGAGATAGTGTTAAATGATTTTATGACCACACCATTCAAGGTTAGTATAAATTTCATAAACTCTTTATATTTTTTTAAAAAATTATATTATGTTCACATTTATTAACATTTACTTCTGATTTTTTTTTTAGTGGGAGAGTAAAGAAAGCTTCGTGAAAGAGGAACTAATGAAGTCTATAAAGAATGGTGTGACTATGTATTATCATTTATCAATGTTGATAAACCTTGAGGTTAGATATTGTTGGTTGAATGTAAATATATGAGTAACAAACTGTTATAATTTGTTTAACATGCCATGTTGAATGAAAACTTTAAGTTTGTACATTGGGTTATTGGTTTAATATTATTGGTATATTTAATATGAATACACTATGTGTACTTAATATATTCTTGTGTACGATTATTCCAGAAAAGTATATTAATATAGCAACGTTATCAGTTTTAATTTCGGATGTGTAGTTAATTTATTAAAATACAACAATGTTCATTAAATAAATTTCAAAATGTAATTCGTAGTATCACATATATAAACCAAATGTTTTCTGGGTATAAATATACAACTGATTTCAAATATTTTCTAGGTACAACTGACATACACAATATCAAAAATACTTTTTTGATGGGATTAATGAAGATATTTTTAGCAAGAAAATACCTTGAATCATCCCCAACAACATGTTATTGAAGGCGTTTTTAACCAAAATCGCCTTCAATAATCTTACCTAAAAATATATTGTGTGAAATATTAAAGGTGTTTTAAGAAATACCTTCAAGAATCTGTACCAAATATTGTGTATGGATTATTGAAGGTATTTTTGAAAAAAATCACCTTCAATAATTTCTGTTAAAAATTTATTTATTGGATTATTGAATATGCTTTTACCCAAAAACGTATTCAAGAGTCCATTGTAAAATTTTTATATGGATTATTAAGGACATATTACGCAAGAAAACGCCTTGAATAATCCCTAATAAAATATTATTGAAAGCATTTATTACCAAAATCACCTTCAATAATCACACATAAAATTTTATTGTGTGAAATATTAAAGGCGTTTTGGGCAAAAAAATACCTTCAAGAATTCATTTCAACTTTTTTGTATGGATTATTAATTTTTTGTATGGATTATTAAAGGTGTTTTAAAAAAAATCGCTATTAATAATACAAACTAAAAATTAATTGAATGGATTATTCAAGGCGTTATTAAGGGCATTTTTCTACTGGTAACGCCTTGAATAATCCATAACAAAATGTTATTGAAAGCATTTTTGAAAAAAATCACCTTCAATAATCTGACCATTTAAATTAATTGTTTGGAATATTGAAGATTTTTTGAGCCAAAAACGCATTTAAGAATCCGTTCCAAGTTTTGTTATTGAATGCGTTTTTGACAAAAATCACATTTAACAATCCTAATTAAAAATTTACTAATTGGATTATAAAACACGATTTCGGCCAAAAATGCCTTCAAGAATCAGTTTCATATTTTTCCTATCGATTATTAAAGGCATTTCTCTGCCAAAAACACCTTCAATATTCTCTCCAAATTTTTTTAAAGCAATTGATGAAGGCATTTTTGCCAAAAAAATGTCTAGAATAATCAATTACAAATAATATATGCAAAAACCCAAAAAAAGACTGAATGGAGGGATCGAATCTATCACCTTATGATTAATATCCATACAATCCTAAAATTTTGATATGATATTTATTGAAGGCGTTTTTAACCAAAAACGCCTTCAATAAGCATGTAAAATTTTTTGGTGTAATTATTAAAAGCATTTCTTGTAGAAAATACCTTCAATAATTGCATATATTTTTTTACATAAGGATTATTGAAGGCGTTGTCTGTCAAAAATACCTTCATTAATTTTCTATCAATTTTTTAATGGGATTATTCAAGCCATTTTTTACCAAAATTACCTTTAATATTCACTCAAAATTTTAAGGCAAGATTATTCAAGGCATTTTAATCGAGAAACGTCGCTAATATTAAGTCTTGGATGGCGTTTATAAGTAACAATGTCGTTATTTGAATATTTAGTGATGTTTTCATAATAAATGCCTTAAGTTTTATAAATACACGAAAAACAACGTTTGTAAGTGAAATGCCACGCTAAAACTGGCACCAATCTTCCATTTTCTTGTAGGGAGTCAACCTGAAGTGTAAGCTTAAAGGAACACTGAGACAACCTAGGCACCCAGGTTGAGTGCTGTGCCTTGACCCAAAAGCGCACTAAAGATGTGAGGTTACCTGGCCCAAAGAAGGTGTTAATAATGACTTACTCGCATAAGAGAGCCGATGTGAAACTGGATCAGAACTCACAAGTGAACATGAGAGATTGTTGTGATATAGTTCACATGTGAGTAAAGAATCTCACATCATTAGAAAATCTGAATGAGATGTCTTATATATGCATGAAAGACCCAAGAACCTAATAGCTTAAGCTTTTAGGCTAAAGTGGTGTCCAACATGTATGTATGGGCTCTCTGGTATATTCTTATGGGTTTCAAGTGTGATTTATCTCCCCAACATGTGTAAGCGCTAATACTACGGGAAAGGGAAGAACTTCCAAATTTTCTCAGATTCCGTGCATGCCAAATATGATAATACTTTATAGTTCATGTTATTGGCCACTAGTCTCATGTCGATTCAAGAATATTTAGTGATATATAAATAGATATTTAAAATGATATTTATAAAGTTTTTTTTTTTGACAAAATTATAATATGTTCAAATTAAAATAATAATATTTTGTAGGTTAAATATATATTTTTATAAATGATATTAGAGTGATTATCAATCAAACGAGAGTTAAGTGTTACATCATTGAAAATCACTTCTAGAATTTAAAAAAAATTAAGTATTATACAATGAGAATCACTTCTAAATCTAAATGTATGGTACAATTTGGGTTTTATAATTTTATGTGCTTTGAGTTGGACTTAATTGAAATTTAAACTTTAACGAAAGAGATTATGATGTCATTAATCTGCATTAAAAAAATAAAGATATCATATGATATATATATGTAAAAATTTAAATTCATTCTTATAAAATAAATTTTATGATATAAAATCATGAAACTTTCGTATCAAAACAAATAATACTTTTACGTACAACACAAATCTCCGCATCATTAATGATAATCTAAATTCGTGTTCCTAACTTTTGTTGAAGATGGCCAGATTTTTTCTTTTTCAAAGTAAACCTGCTCAACGCACCAGAGATTCAACGGTTGTAGATATTAACTTTGTTATGAAAGAAAAGACTTTCTCCAATCTGGTATAATTAGAACAAGCAAGATGGATTTCTTGAGTTGGTTACAGTGCCTTCTCTTCTTCTTAGTCTTGATTCAGGCCCTCCGTTCAATCACAAGAAGGAAAGGAAGAACGGACAAGCTTCCTCCAGGTCCTGCCATAATTCCAATCTTTGGGAACCTCTTCCTGCTTGGCGAAAAACCCCACAAGTCCCTTGCCATGCTTGCGAAGACCCATGGGGACATAATGACTTTGAAACTTGGCCAAAAAACTACTATAGTTGTTTCCTCTGCATCCATGGCCAAAGAAATCCTCCAAAAGCATGATGCGGCTTTCTCTAACCGAACCATTCCCGATGCCGTTCGTGCCCTTCAACACCACGAAGCGGGAATGCCTTGGATGCCTGTTTCAACAACATGGAGACTTCTTAAGAAAATCTGCAACTTTCACATTTTCGCTAGTCAGAGACTTGACGCCAATCAATACTTGCGGCGCAGCAAAGTTGAAGAACTCCTTGCTGATGTTCATGAAAGTTGCCGTGTCGGAGAAGCAATTGACATAGGCCAAGCAGCTTTCAAAACTACGCTTAATTTTTTATCCAACACTATTTTCTCCATCAATTTAGCTGACTCCTCTGATACTGCTCAGGAGTTCAGAGAAATTGTGCAGGGTATTGAGGAAGAGTTGGGAAAACCCAACTTTGGTGATTATTTCCCTATTATTCTTGCTATTAATCTTGACTTGCAGGGCATAAGGCGTCGGATGACAATTCATTTAGGGAAACTGATGAGTCTTTTTGATAAAGTGATCGATGAGCGGTTGGAGTTGAGAAAGATGAACGATTATATATCAACTAATGATTTCTTGGATACTCTACTTCACATTAGTGAAGATAACGAAGAGCTTGATAGAAATCTTATCAAACACTTGCTTCTGGTTGTAACTTTATCTCCTTTTAATCTCTCTATTTCTATTTACTCATTATTGAAGTTAGGTCCTTTAATTGTTAAGAATTTGTGAAACAGGATTTGTTTACAGCGGGAACTCAGACAACTGCAAGTACATTGGAATGGGCAATGGCGGAATTACTTCGTTGCCCAAAAGCTTTACTGGAAGCCCGCAGGGAACTTAAGCAAAATATCGGCCAAGGCAACCTGGTGGATGAATCAGACGCTGCTTGTTTACCTTACTTGCAAGCAGTTGTCAAGGAAACCTTGAGGTTGCATCCACCAGTTCCTTTTTTACTCCCTCGAAAAGCTGAAGCAGATATTGAAATTCATAACTTCATCGTTCCAAAGGGTGCACAAGTGTTGGTCAACGCATGGGCTATAGGCAGGGATCCCAACTTCTGGGAGGAGCCTGATTTATTTCTTCCAGAGAGGTTCATAGGATCAGAAATGGATGTTAGAGGTAGGGACTTTAGACTGATTCCATTTGGTGCAGGGCGACGAATTTGTCCTGGATTACCGTTGGCCAAAAGAATGTTGCCCTTGATGTTGGGTACGCTTGTTCATTCATTTGATTGGGAACTTGAAGATGGAGTTACACCTGAAAGCTTGAACATGGATGACAAATTTGGTCTTGTTCTACCTAAAGCCCAACCATTAAGAGCTATCCCAATTTCAATTTGATCATGTGTTGCTATATCTGCTTGTTATTGTTATCTATATATTAAAGATAAACTTATTTCTGTTTTGGTCGTGTTAATCTAGTGAATTAATGCTAAGGCTCATTTGATTTTGTATGAATGAGCTTTTTCAACAGCGTGCATTATTGGTCAATTTAATCATAATTTGCAGATCATAACTTTAGGTGATGCTAGAAGTAGTTAAAATCATAATTTTTCAAATGTTGCGGCTAAGTGAAAGTAGTCAACACTGTAATCAAAGTTTTGGTGAAAAAAAAAAAAAACAGCAGTTTAATTTTCAACTCCAACTAACGTTCATTCAAATATATGGATGATCCAAGAATCTCATGCAGTTCGCAGCTTTTTTATTTTTCTTCAAGAAAATCTATATCTATGTGGAATCTGCTACTTAAAAGTGTTAAAGTTAAGCAATTTTGCCCAGAAGTAAATGGATGAGCCTTGAACAACCATTGCTTCGTGGGCTTCTTTGGCATTTTAAAAGGAGGAAATCTGTCTCTACTTGGAGGCATACTTAACATGCATCATGAGTAAAAATTATCATTGATGACTAAACTAAAACATGCCATACTTGATTTCTACCTGGATTTCTTCCTTTCCAGATGGTAGTTCTTTGAACTTGGCAATAGCATGTCTTGTCACTCATTTTTTTGGTACAAGTTATCGTTGATGACTTGACATTCTTTTGGTACAAAAACCGAGGTTAACAATAACACGTCTTGTCACTCCACAACAGTCTAACAAATCAGTCTCCAGAGACTCTAAGACCCAAACAGAGTTTGACATTTTGTCACTCAACTAACAATCTAACATTCCAAGCTCCAGAGATCCAAGACCCAAACAGAGGTAACAAATTTTTGGGTACAAAAGCTGAGATTAACAATAACATGTCTTGTCACTCAACTAACAATCTAACATTCCAGTCTCCAGAGGTTCAAGATCCATACGGAGGGAGCTTAACATTTTTTTGGGTACAAAAACTGAGGTTAATATTAGTAGTATAAAAGAAAAGACTCCAATCCGAGAAGAATAACCAAAATGGATCCTTTGAGGTTACTGTACTTTCTGTTCTTCTTTGCATGGTTCAAGCCTTACATTTAATCGCAAGGAAGAACCGCAAAGCTTCCCCTGGTCCACCTTCTGTGCCAATTTAGGAGCACTTTATGACCATAAGGGTATTATGAACTTTTCCTTTCAAAAGGTCATTTATCAAAAAATAAAATTAATTTTGTTATTTCAATCCAAATTGACATGTCGGATTAATTTAAATCTTAAAATTCACGTTAATTTAGTTTCCTCAACTTACCAATAAAAGCATATAGAAATAGTGATTTACTACTCCCTAATTAGACTATAGACTGTCCAATCAGGTCAAGCCAACAATGTCAACCATTAACTTTAGACTTGTTGATCAAAGCCAGGTCATCCAGATATAACACTCTCACTTTACAAATATAAGTATCCCCGCATATCAAGTAGAGACATTCAATTACCTTCTCTCTTCTTAAGCTTTTTCTCTTTTTTTTTCTTTTCCAGCACTAACGTAAGGGTCGAAATGGATAGACTTTCAAATTTTGTTTTTAACCCTCTCCAAACTTGGATTTCAAATTATTGTACTCGAACAGCTCGACTCCAACGCAATCCTCGGGAATCTCTTCCAGCTTGGCAACAATCCCTATAAAACCCTTACAAAGCTTGCCAAGACTGATGGCCCCATAATGACTTTGTAACTCGGCCAGAAAACTACTATAGTTTTTTCCTCAGCAACCTTGGCCAAAGATATCCTCCAAAAGCATGACCTAGCCTTCTCCAACCTAACCATTCCTGATGTTGTCCGAGCCCTTCAACACCACGAAGCCGAAATGCCCTGGATGCTTCGCTTCAACCACATGGAGAAACCTTCAAAAAATCTATAACTTGCATATTTACGCCTGTCAGAAACTTGATACTTGCGACACAGGAAACTACAAGAGCTCCTTGTTGATGTTTGTGATAGTTGCCGCGTGGATGAAGCAATAGATATTGGTCAAGCTGCTTTTACAACTACGCTTAATTTGATGTCAAATACCGTTTTCTCTATCGATTTGGCTGATTCAACTTCTGATACTGCTCTAGAGTTTAAAGAGATTGTGGAGTGTATCAAGCAAGAGTTAGGAAAACCTAACCTTGGTGATTATTTTCCTATTATTTTCGGAAATCTTGACCTGCAGGGCATAAGGCGTGGAATGACCATTCATTTTGGAAACTTGATGGATCCTTTTGATAGAATGATCGATAAGCGATTGCAGTTAAGAATAATTAATAGTTATACATCGACCAATGATTTCCTGGATGCTCCTATCAATTTAAGTGAAGAAAACAGTGCCAAACTTGATAGAAATCTTATCAAACATTTGCTTCTGGTAGGAACTTTGTCTCATTTCATTCCTTTTATTTCACTTTGTTACTTGTCATATTATATAGCCAAGTTATTGCCTTCTTTTATGAATTGTGAAACAGGATTTGTTTACAGCTGGAACTGAGACAACTTCTGGTACATTGGATTTTGGAATGGGCAATGGCTGAAGTACTTCACAATCCAAAAACTCTACTAGAAGCCCAACAAGAACTTAAGCAAATTATCGGCGAAGGGAACCTAATGGAGGAGTCTTACATTGCTCGTTTGCCTTATTTGCAAGCAACTGTCAGAGAAACCCTCAGGTTGAATCCAGCAGTCCCTTTGTGACTCCCTTAAAAAGCTGAAATAGATGTTGAAACCCATAACCTCATTCTTCCAAAGGGTGCATAGCAGCACAGGTGCTGATCAATGCCTGGGCTATACGTAGAGATCTTAGCATCTGGGAGGGAGCCTGACTTATTTCTTCCGAAGAGGTCCTAGGATCAGAAATGGACATTAGAGGTGGGATTTTGGACTCATATATTCCATTGGATGCAGGACGACGAATTTGCCCAGGATTGCCATCAGCAATAAGAATGTTGCACCTGATGCTGCGTGGACTTATTCATTCATTTTATTGGAAACTTGAAGATGAAGTTGCACCAAAGAGATTAGACATGGAGGATAAATATGGTCTTGTTTTGCATAAGGCTCAACCATTAAGAGCTATCCCAATTTCAATTTAACAATATTGTGTTCGGTATTTTTATCTAATACTATTGAATAGCAATAATCAAACTTTAGTTGATGGTAGCTTCTTGTTGAATAATGTGTTGGCTCCCTTTTACCCATTGTTTTTTGTCAATAATGGCAGTTGGGTTGGGCTTGAGCAAGTTAATTCATGTTGGATCTTTTTGATATCCAAAAATGAAAAGCTAGTCCTTGTACCATTGCTTGAACTTCCAATATTTAAAAAAAATAAAAAGTATTTTTTATCATTTTGGTATACAAACAAAAGATGCTATCCATAAGCAACTTCAATTTATAAGTTAGTTCAATTTGGATTGGCCCATTTGCTAACTAAATATTATCAGTTAAAATAGCAATTTAAGTCCATTCTCATCAAACAATTAAGAAAATTTTTTAAATAAAAAATATAAATATTTCTATCTATAAGTTTTTGTCATAATTTTTTTTAATTCAAAAATAGATAAATTATTCAGTTTCTTATATTAAAATAAAATATATCATATTTGATAATTTAAAATAAATAATTATAAATCATGCATTAAAGATAATTTTAATAAATAATCATCAATAAAATTTAAATTCAAAATTTTTTCGTAAAAAAAAAAATTTAATTAATTGAATCAATCACTTACTAATTTATTATAAACTTTAAAAAATAATTAAAGCTATTTATATGTAATAATTTTTAGTCTTTTTATTTAATTACAGTTTCATTAATTTTTTTAAATATTAAAATTTAAAGTTGTCTCAAGTAGTGTATGTTTTTTTTGCTAAATTGTTTGTTTCATTTGGACTGAGGGGTTTTTTTTTTTTGAGTTGGTTTTTCTTGGATTTTTGTTTTCTTATTTATAAATGTTTGGATTTTGATTTATTTTAGTTTTCATTGATTGTATGTAATATTGAGTTTTTATATTTCTCCATAAAAAATCTATCTTTTATCTGAAATTTTTGTCTTGTTTTTGACCTTTTTCAGAAATCTAGGTGGAACTCGCATGTGGGGAGACGTCCGACGTAGATGGGGCTAAAACATGAGTCATCTTCTCCGATCCCCTTGCCCATGTTTGCTCTCACTACTTCTTCACCGTCACATAAGAATAAAACCTTCTGCTCTAAAATGTGGGCCACGTAATCAATTTCCCTGACTCACTCCATCTCCTTGTCGACTCAACTCGGCCAACCCGTCCAAATCGTTGCCGCTCCTGGCCTATCCGACTCGGAGTTCAGGTGAATAGTCTTTTTTTTTTTTCTTTTCTCGTTGTAATTCTTTTTGATGTTTTGAAATTTATGAGTACCCATTGTTTGATTAATCTTAAATATGAATTTACAGGAGTGCTGTTGGGTCATCTTTATTTAAACAATGGTTAACTTTAAAGAATCTGGAGAGTGAAAGTGGGATTTTGGCTAATGGGTCTTTTGAATTTTTTGAGTGCCTTTTGTTTTACTTGTTTTTATCGTTGTTGTATTGAGAATCATGGAAGAATTGTTGCTTAAATTGATTATAAAACGCTATGTCTGGTGGGTTTTATGCAAAATTTGAACTTGCTAATCATTTGGGCTCTAAAGTATGAACTTTTTGCCTTTTCACTTGGAATGTGTAAAAGAAATGCTAGGTATATCCAATAATACACCTTTTTTCTTTGTTATGGAACTTTAGGTTGATGGTTTGCTTTGATAACAGGGAGTTGATTTGTTTGGAAAGCGCATTGGCTTCCTCAAATTCAAAGCTGATATTATTGAGAAAGGAACAGGACATAAGGTATTTGATCATCTTCGTGAATAGCTTTTCTAACAGATTAGTATTAGAGTATGTTTCTTTTTGTAACTGCTAGATGTTGAAATGCATTATCGAGTTCAGCTTTTATGGAGTATGTATTACAACTATCTCAGCATTATACACGTTTTATTCATGCTATTGTTCAGTTTCTTTCTTATGAACTAAAACATGCCTAGGTTCCAGGTATAGTATTTGCAAGAGGACCCGCTGTAGCTGTGCTAATTCTTTTGGAGTCAGAGTGAGACTTATGCTGTTCTCACTAAACAGGTAGGGAGATGTTTTAATTGAATTTTCTTAGCAGTTCTTCAAGTATGATATAATTGAGCAGAAATTGAGTCGGAAGATGGCCACTTAAATATTTGCTACTTCATCCTAATCTAATGAGTCTTCATGTTTCTCCAATGTTAGGGTCCCCACTGGGAGGCTTGTTCTGGAATTGCCTGCTGGAATGTTGGTTGATGATAAGAGTGCTAGTTCGTGAGTTATGCTTTCTTTCCTTCTCTCATGGTATCATGTGAACAGACAAACACATATTATGCATATGTTTATATCTGTATATCAGCAATTTTCTTTATTTTCTTAGGCATCTGTATTTTAGTCATTTTACAAACTTGAAGTTTGTAAAATGATCGAATTTAGGTGATGGTCCTTTTAAATTAGCCATTATTGAGGTTAAGGGTTATTTAATAGTGCACTGGAACGTGCTTTTCCAGCCTTCTCTTTTGTCCTTTTCATGTCTAACACAACACTCTTTCATATCTGGGTCTCTGTTATGAGACCATTTTCCCCTTTGTGGGTTGCTTTTATAGATTGTATTCCAGCCTATGTTTGCAGATATGCTGACGCTCAACATTTGCCATTTAGTTGAGACAACATACTATTTTTGACAGGATTTGTTTTGTTAAAGATTCCTTTTTTTACCCCCTTTTTGTTATACAAATTATTTGTTAATGAGTTGAAACTGACAGGTTGAGGAGGAGATAGGTATTCACTTGAACCTTGGAAGACATGGTTGACCTCACAGCCTTCCTCGGAGCCATCTAATGGATTCAAAGTTTTTCCTTCTCTGGTATGTTGGCTATCTTCCAAGAAGTATTGACAAACCAATGGTGCTTTTTTTTGGAAAATCATTCCATGTAAAAAATCCAAGAAGCATGACTTGGGAATTGGATTATTAACAACATGTGTTTTTTCATTATCTGGTGAATTTATGATGTGGAACATTGCTTAGAAGATCTGCATTACAATTGCGGAGCCTCAAAGGCTCTGACAATCGTTTCTTGAGAATAGTATGTCCATTTGGGGCACATTTCCTGTCATGAATTGATTCAGCTTACTATAAGATAATTATTTCTTGTGTTCCATGTTAGGGAGGGTGTGATCAAGAAATTGGCCTTTTTCTGTACAGAGGGCATGTTGATAAAAACATTATTACACGGCTGCAAGGAAAAGAATCAGGTCTTCCCGAACATGCTGAGCTGATCAAGGTTCTGAGTTGTTCCTTATGAGAAACTCTGGCTCATGACACCTGACGTAATGACTCTGATGGCAGTAGCAATCTATGAAATGGCCAATAAGGAAGGATTATTACCTAAGAATTCCTAACCTGCCAACATCTGTCGTTACTGGCTGCCTTTTGTTCATGTTTTGATCAGTCATTTTGACATCATGGAAACTTGGGCGCCAATTGTCCTAGAAATCAAGTTATTTTTTAACCTGTATAAAGATCATGTAAAACTGTTTTATCAGTGAGTTGAAGTATCTTATTCTTGAAGTTCCTCTTTCATTCGTACACGGAGACAAACAGTCAAATAGTCGGTTTTCATCTGTTGTTTCTTTAGTCAGAATTTGAACTCTAATTACTGGAATTAATGAACATTAAACTCTAATTATTAGAGTTAAGAGTCTTAATACTCTACCAACATACCTACTGTCTGTATATATTGTTTACATTTACCTTCTACAATTTGTATGGACATTAAACTCATATAATATATATTCCCTGAAACCTTTACGAGTCACTGCAGAAGTTGTGCGTTAGTGCAAGAAGATTCATGTGATTGGTTGCAGCTGATATTAACAATTTAAGTTTAACAATCGGACTCATTTCCTCAACAACCTAAGCTTCACTCATTGCCACATTGTATACCTATGCGGTTTGAGCAGCATTCCATTGTAATCGAAGCTTAGAGCTCGCCATTTTATTGGATGGAATTTCATCTGTGTCTAAGATCGTCCCTAGAACTCATTAAGAGAACAGATGTAAAAAAGAATCCTCATACCAAGGATAAAAGGGTATCTACTAGTACATTATTCTGACTTCTATAAAATCTTCCTCAGACCTTACTGGTGACAAAATCTTTGTCACTTGCTTCCCAGATGGTTGTGCCATCGCATGCACATATCTTCTTATAGTTTTCACCAACCCCAGCACTTCGGGCAATCACTGCAGCTGTCAGGCCTGGATCTGATTTATCTTCAGTCTCATATACAGCTATTGATCGCCCGATGAGATCAGCAACTCTGAGCTGCTGTTTGACGCCAGTGTAAAAGGCCTCACCATTCTTATCCACATCCAGAGTTCCCAGGTCGCCAAGTGGCTGTAAAGCAGAAACAAAGTTAAGGAATGAAATAAGCAATCATGATCGTGTGAAAGAATAGATAAGAAGATGCTTGGCTTATAATTAGACAAATATGTAGTTGACAAAAGAGAAATATGCCAAATATAATGGAAAATTTTTCAAGGAAAAATACAACTTGAAAAGAAGTCTAATCAAGCTACCCGTATGCATGTAATTGTTGAGGCAAAACACAAGCAATAGTTTAACTTACATACGAGTATCAATAACTCTTTTACAGCATAGAATCATCTTCTACAATTGAGTGCGTATGTGTGTGTGTATGTATATATTCTGTTTCTCAATAAAGAGTGCTGGCAGGACAAGATTAAAAACTTTTAGGGGTTTTTTAAACATATTTTCATTCATTAGGGAAATTAAAAAATTTATAACACAAATTTGCAACAGAAGTAAACCATTTGAAAATTATGTTACGGCAGCACAATATAATCATGCAATTTAGATAGCACTGACAGGTCCATTGGCCAGTAAGAGCCATCTTTAACAGGTACGTGGTACTTTCAGTCTCATACTTGCACTTTGATGGTTACTGAATGAAATTACACAAACAGAAATAGGAAAAACACCAAAAAGCAGTGTATGTGAGGTCACTTAGTGATTTATGTAACAACAAGAAGAAAAATATGAAATCCAGGGACGGCAGAAAATAGAAAAAGACCTCTTTATCAGTTCCATCGTTTGATGGATTAAACACCTTCCCTGTACTAGCTGCACCTCTTGTCAGATCACCGAACTCATTAATGGACCAACTGTGTTTTCCGGGTGACAAACCACTAAAACTGGCTTCAATCCTAGCCAATTCCAAACTCACTTGAGCCAATCGAACTACACCAAAAATTTCTGGACCTTTGAACTCAGCAACAGCAGCAGAAACTAAAAAGTCTGCAAAAAGGACGGGTAATAATTTGAGAAACTGTAGCTGTTATTAGCTGACATGAGATGGTGAATTTACTCCATCCTATGAAGGGCACCTCTTTTAAAGTTTTAAGGTTCTAGGAAGTGGATATTGCATGTTTCTTTATTATTTATTCATCGAAAGCTCCAAGTTGAACTAATTGCCAAGGAAGAGACAGCAAACAGCCTTGGTCAATTTATTTAGGAAATGATATCATTTATGTACATCATATCAATATTAAACTAACAATTAACAAAAAATTTCTAAAATTTCAAGGACTTCCATCAACAAGCTAAAGTGAACATAAATTTTATTCAAACACAATTTCTTTTGGTATTGCTCGGCATCCTCACAAAGGTCATAACAACAACCTAAAACTAGTCTCATAACCAGCATGACTATTCTTTCCTTCTTTTAGAATGAAGTAGTAAAAGGTTGGACTAGCTGGTAAATAAACTTTAAAATACTAAGAACAAATAAGACTTTCTTTCCTATCCGTTACCAGCATGCATAAATGAGGGCAAGCATCAATATAATATATATATATATATATATATATAGGTTAATATACCCAACACAATTACAAGTTAGATTGACAAACCTTCTGGCACTCCTTGGCCTATTAATCTCGCTTTTCGACCAGTCTGCTCCAATGCATCAGTCATGGTTTTCACAGATGAAGAACCAAGTATTCTCACCACTTGATTGCTCAAGTCCACTTCCACACTCTTGACGCCTTTGCATATAAATACAAAACATGCCATAATTGAGTAATTAAAGCAAAAATAAACATGAAATGAAAATTTAAAGAGACCTCTTCAAGGCCTTAGAAGATTGATCATGCACAAAATGATTGCTATTGCTTTACCATTAACTGTTTGTAACTTATTCTTGACTGCATTAACACAACCTTCACACTTCATATCGACCATATACTCAGTCTGAAACCAAAATCAAAACCCAAAATCTTCAGCATGTCAACAAAATTTAAGGATTAATCAACAATAACTATTAAATTCATGTTAAAGAGAAAAAACAATTAACTTACAGCTAGAATAAGATTTGATAACTGAATAATAATCAAGATGATTAACTTACAAGAAGGTCAGGCAAGGACCCATTTTCCTGCAAATTCAAGATAGAAGGAGTCAAACATAATTAAAGATAATAGTAATAAGGAAGAGCAAGATTTAATGTGAAAAGAAATGGGCAGTGCTCAAAATAGGTAATTTAACAGCAAACCTGAGATGGGTTGTGACCAGATGTCGGTGAATCCATGTGAAGAGCAGTGGAAGAACTGACGACGGTTCTTGTAAGGCCTAAGCGATTTGGTGGTGAAGAGAGGAAAGGGAGGTTTTGGGTATTTGGAAAATGAGAAGATTTGCAAGAAGAAGAAGAAGAAAAAGCCAAAGCTGTAGGCAGAGCAGAAGCAGCAGCTATGGCAGTTGCTTGGGTCAGCGACCTCAAAAATGCCATTGCCTTGGCTTGGGACTATAGGTATTATTTTTACTGAGGCGGTTTGGTGAAAGAGCGGCGAGTGGCGGCGACTCAGCTAGCTTTCTAGATGCTTCTAAAGTGTTTCGAGGCAAATGTTTGGTTGATATTTTCGGATAAATTATTTTCTTCTTAAAACAAAAGAATTTTATTTCTTGTTTAAATGAAATTTATGAAGGATATTTTTTATTATTTGGCGTTTTAGTGTTATGCGAAAATTTTGTAATTTACCTGAGTTTATCTGTTTATGTTAAATATTATACTAAATATGAATAATGAAAAATTTTAACAAAATTCAATTAATTCTATATGGTTGATCGTAAAAAATTTAAAAACCAAATTAAAGTTATTAATAAAAAATAATCGAAATCGATTTAAATCAATCAATTTCATAAAAAGTGTTGTTAAAGTAAAAATTGTTTCAAAAATATTGTAAAAAATTAAAATAATATTTGACAAATTTAATAAAAAAAATAGAGTAAAATATTTTAAAATTTATTTGATAATATTTTGTATATTTTTAATACATAAAAAATAAAATAATAAATTTTATTAAATTAAATCACAAAATTTAAGATAAAAAACAAATAAAAATATTTTTATTAATTATAAAAAATAAATGAATTCAATAAAAAATAAACAAAATAAAAATAATGTAAAATAATATACTTTTTTATAATTTTATGAATTATTGAAGTGTAAAGCAATAATGTAAAAAATTTTATTAAATATTTATTATTAAAATTAATGTAAAAATTTCTTATTAAATATTTATTATTAAAATTAACATTTTTAAAGTGTTTTAAAATATACTTCCATATAGGCTAAAATTTAATCACTTACTAAATAAGCTTTTCTACAAATCGGGCCTAACAATTGCTAATATTTATCACAAAAGCCCTATCACGGAGTAGCTCTTAATTGCATGGGCCAGCCACCAGCGGACATTTCCAAGTCCAAAGGCCAAAACTTTGCCATCCTCAAGTTCCAACAAAACCATGTTCTTGTCAAGTTCCGATTGCAGCGCTCAATCCTAGAGAGGCCGAAATGATAAATTTACACACACACTGTAATCTCCGTCTAAAATGTAATACTGTGAAAAATGTGCAAAGCTTTGGGATCTTGAAACAGGATATTATTGGCCATGGTGTAAGCATTCTAGCTGCAGGTCCAGTTTCTATGGAAAATAAAACAACTAATACAAAGTCAACATTTAACATGATTTCTGGCACTTCCATGTCCAGCCCTCAGCTAATTGGGATGGCTGGTTTACTCGAAAGCTGCCATCCAGATTGGTCTCCAGCTGCTATAAAATCTGCTATCATGGCTACAGCTACCTTGGTAAATCTTGGAGGGAAGCCAATTGTTGACCAAGCAGACACTCCTGCTGATATCTAATTTGCAACTGGTGCTGCAGGTCATGTTAACCCATCAAAAGCAAACAAACCTGACCTTATCTATCATGCCAACCGGATGATTACATCCCTTATTTATATGCCTTGAATTACTCTGACGACGAGGTAATTAGAACTATAGTGCAAAAAACTGTGAACTATCCTTCATTTTCTATAGTATTACCGAAGTATGGTTCTCAGACACAGACGAGAACAGTGACAAACGTTGGCCCGCAAAGCTCATCCTACACCTATGAAGCCGTTGCACCAGTAGGAGATATAGATGTTAGTGTAAAACCGAATCAGATTGCTTTTACAGCGGTGAACCAGAAGGCAACTTACTCGGTGACATTTACCAGACAAATGAACATCAGCTTGCAATTTTCCCAAGGACGTCTCAAGTGGATTCCTGCTCAGCATAATGTTACAAGCCCAATTGCTGTCATACTTGAGTAAGGAATAGGTCGAGCAGATTGTGCTTTATAGGAAGGAAGCACAGACCTAATCAATCCCATGCATGGGCAACTCATACAAAAGCTTGTTAGTAGTTATTATTTGGTTCACAATCGTCCATCATTTTAACGAGTTTTTCTTCAAGAAATGTTAATTGAAACAAAGAACTGATTGATTAAGCATCATTATTATCACCCCATCCATTCTTTCGAGTTCAAATTTTTTTAAGTGTCTACTTTTTGAGTTCAGATTGATAACTCAACCTACAGCAACCTTGTTTTCCATTTTTGCAATTTGAGTTAAAAGAGAAAGAGGATCAAGGAAAAATTTTTCCTTTCCTGTGTGAATCCTAGGGACATAGCTATTGTTTTTAGTGAGAAAATTATTATTATTATTATTATTATTATTATCAATTTATTCATTGTAGATTTTATGAATTTATTTACTAGATAAACCAAGAAATCTCAAGCACACGCTATATTCACTTGTGGGTACTTTTAAGTTTTGATTGCTGCTTGAATTGAAAAGGAATAAACTAAAAAGCTGAAATTAGATATTTAGACCATAAGACATTTCAGCAAAAATGAACCGAAAGATACGTACCCAAAAAATATTAATCAGAACATGCAGAATAGTTGCTCACAGTTTCAACTTCCAATCTGGTTATTTAAGGTTTAAGTAAACAAAAAAGAGAGGAATTTGGGATATAAATCAAATGATCCATTTCATTTAAAAACTGAATTCTCCTAAGATTGAATTTGATTCCTAATACTTGTATAATTTCTCTTATATTATCTCTTAAACTACAGTCTCCTTGTCCCCAAAAAAACTAACAAAGGAGAGATTGTGAAGTATGATTTTCTTCTTCATTTTCTTTTGTTGGGGGGAAGGGGGATAGGAATGCATAGAACTTAATCCAGCAAACAGCCCAACAAAAACTAAACGACACCTATCCATGCAGGATTTTTATGTTGGAAGAAGTAGTGAGTAAATATTTAATTAACAGCTAAATTATTTCAGCTAAGGCCAAGTCAAAATACCATGGATTGGCAGAGACTTTTGTAGTTTTGCTCACAATCTGCTCACATGAAGCCCGGAGGTATATTAGTTACAACACAGATTCTAAATCTGGTAATAGACGCAGGAAAGAAGCTGTAATAATACATCTAGGATTGCATGCCCATATCTGTTCGCGCCTATATGCGGGAATATTATCAGCAACGGTCTCAAAAATAAAACAAACGGAAACTATGCAATGACTCAGTCGAGCTAACTGGAATGTCATTAAAAAATTGTAGATAGACAAGCGTACAAAGACAAGTATTCGACATCATAACCTTAAACAAACACTCAAAAAAGGCATCTCTATTGCCGTTTAAACTATGATTATAGAAGGCATTATTGTACAAATACAAATGAATGGGCTAGCTATAATGTTCCAACAGCAGATCTTAATCTACACTGAGACTCGCATAAAGAAACCGGCCATCTTTCTCCCTCTCACTTGTATATATTGGCAGGGTTAGAAGTGGTGGAAGCTCAAAAACTAAATCTACCTCTCCAACTTACTAGAGAGGATCCATTTCCCACCAAAGATGGATATCACTCAGTTCCTTTGTCTCATTTTCTTGCTCAATGTCCATTCTCTGATCGTTCAAGGAAGTGAATTTTCATCTGCAAATGAAATTGAAAAGAAAAAGTTGCAGACTTACATTGTCCATGTTAAGCAGCCCGATGCAGGAGTTCTTGGACAATCAGACAATCTTGATGTAGACAGATGGCACAGATCTTTTCTGCCATCCACTACTGCAAGCTTAGATACACGACCACGGATGGTTTATTCATACAAAAAAGTCATCAGTGGTTTCGCAGCAAGACTGACAGAGGAGGAAGTGCAAGCCATGAGAAGGAAAAAAGGGTTTATTTCAGCACGTCCTCAGAGGATACTACGTACACAGACAACACACACACCACGCTTCTTGGGGCTGCAGCAGGATCGAGGAATTTGGAAAGAATCAAACTTTGGAAAAGGTGTGATAATTGGCGTGTTGGACACTGGAGTTTTGCCTAGCCATCCTTCATTCAGTGATGAAGGAATGCCACCTCCCCCAGCAAAATGGAAAGGAAGATGTGAATTTACAGCCTGTAATAACAAAATAATTGGTGCAAGGTCCTTCAATATTGATGGAAATATGACTGGGGGAATGGGGGTTGAACCACCTATTGATGAAGATGGACATGGGACTCACACAGCTAGCACTGCTGCAGGTCGGTTTGTAAACGATGCTGATGTGCTGGGAAATGCCATAGGTACCGCTGCAGGGATGGCACCACTTGCTCACCTGGCAATTTATAAAGTATGCTTTGGGAGATGACTGTGGAGATAGCAACATACTAGCTGGGCTCGATGCTGCTATCGAGGATGGTGTTGATGTGCTTTCACTCTCTATCGGAGGAGATGCAGTTCCGTTATTCCAGGACAACATAGCTGTCGCTGGATTTGCAGCCATGACAAATGGAATATTTGTTAGTTGCGCAGCTGGAAATTCTGGCCCTTCCAAGACCACATTATCCAATGAAGCCCCATGGCTTCTCACAGTCGGAGCAAGCACAGTTGATCGAAAAATTTTAGCCATAGCAAAGCTTGGAAATGGAAGAAGAATTTGATGGAGAATCCGTTTTCCAACCAAATCACTTTCCTTCCACGCTGTTACCACTTGTTTATGCCGGCATGAATGGTAAACAAGAGTCTGCACTCTGTAGCGAGGGATCATTGAAAGATATAGATGTCAAAGGCAAGGTGGGTTTTATGTGAAAGAGGAGGTGGAATAGGAAGAGTTGCCAAAGGACAGGAAGTGAAAAATGCTGGTGGTGCTGCCATGATTCTCGTGAATGATGAAGCTAATGGCTTCAGTGTTGAAGCTGATGCTCATGTTCTTCCAGCAACCCATGTAAGCTTTGCAGCTGGGTTGAAGATAAAAACTTACATAAATTCAACAGCAGCGCCTACAGCGACAATCTTATTTAGAGGAACCATCATAGGAGATCCGTCGGCTCCCTCTGTTGCTTCCTTTTCGTCAAGAGGGCCCAGCTTGGCGAGCCCAGGCATTCTGAAACCAGACATTATTGGCCCAGGTGTGAACATTCTGGCAGCATGGCCATTCCCTCTTAACAATGATACGAATTCAAAATCCACCTTCAATATAGTATCTGGCACATCGATGTCATGCCCTCATCTCAGTGGTATTGCAGCCTTGCTCAAGAGCTCTCATCCTACCTGGTCACCAGCTGCCATTAAATCTGCTATGATGACTTCTACCGACCTATTAAATATTGAGGCAAACCCATTGTTTGATGAAAAGCCCAAACTGCTGATGTCTTTGCTACCGGCGCTGGCCATGTTAATGCCATCTAGGGCAAATAATCCAGGATTAATTTATGATATCCAACCCTGATGATATATTCCGTATCTTTGTGTTTGGGCTACACAGATGCGGAAGTTGGATACTTGCACATAGATCAGTCAAGTGCTCAGAAAAGCCAACCATACCAAAGGAAGCTGAACTATCCTTCATTTTCTGTCAAACTAGGCCTTCTCAGACGTTCACAAGGACCGTGACAAATGTTGGTGAGGCAAATTCGTCCTATGAAGTTACAATTACAGCTCCAAAAGGTGATGTAATTGTGAAGCCTAGTACACTATGCTTCGGAGCTATACCAGAAGGCAACCTACTCAATAACATTTACTCGAGTTAATCACCTTTTACAATAGGTGAATTCACTCA